GCATTCAAATAGTGAGCTCATTGGCACTGATATCAACAACACAGTAAAAGATGCTCATATCAAAATGCTGCTGTATGTAATGATTGAGGGTCATTCCTTGTGGCCTCCCATTGATGTCTTCAAGAAGCATATGCAATGGGAAGGAGAGTGCACCGCAATTTTACAGAGGCGATTCATAAAGAACATCGCTATGATACAAAACAGGGATACATGCACTTTCACCACCAATAGGATTGGAGAGATGTTTAGCATGAGTTGTACATCAAACTGCACTTTGAGATGAGTCATATATATAGCCTCTACAAGGCTACAGAAATGTCAGTCTCCTCTACAATGCAAAGACACAATACAATGCACCTATTCATGACATCTTACTAACCATCATTTGAAGGCTTGTATCAAGCAGAGATAAAACAGAACAAAAGCAAAAATCTTTGAACCTAATCAAAAAACTATCCACATATCATTCAATTCAGTGACTTTTGGAAGTAGGGAAGGCTTTATACATAGAAACAAGGGTATGAAATTTCTTGATATTTACCTTTGACTCATGATATATCACTCTAGGCTACATTTGAAAGAGTGAGGCGAGAGTTGCTCTCTATCAAAACAAAGGACATACAGTTAGTGAATTTTATGTTCAAGCTCTGCTTGCATTTTGAATACTCTAGGACTTATACCTTACATAGATAATGGAAGGACCTAATAGTACTTTATGAATGTTACTATTATTGAAATTCAACTCTCTTTAACTAAGGAAAATTATTCTTACCTATGCATTTAAATTTAATTAGTCATGGTTATAATTTAAAACAAATTTACACTACTAAGTAGGAGGGTATATATCTAATTGACCAAACTCCAAGAGCATGAACTATTGGGCACAGATGGGACATTCATAGGACTAAGCCTACTGTAGATAATTCAGATAATAATTATAAACTTAAATAAAATGAAAAATGAAAGAGTAGACACTAACTGCCTAATTCAAAATACTAGTAGACAGTAGTTGTTTATCCCAACATTGAATCATATTATTAATTGAATGTCCATGACAAGTAGCAGACAATGAGGCTAAGGATATAAGTTCATGGCTGCATCATGGAACAAATAGGCTCCTGGGATTATTTCCTGGCTTTAGAAGCCAGACCCCTATGAATCCCTTAAAATCCTTCAAGCCTGTCTATAGTGAGCCTTCTCTCTTATTATGACTAATTATTCCTAATGATCATAACAATTATTGTCACACATAACTACGTACTTATATGATCATATTTTTTAGCAATTTTCATACTCAACACACCTCAGTTGCTTATATAGACAACCAAGGTGAGATATATTTATTAATAGACTATTTATCTAGCTAATATTCTTACACAGTTTATATATTCAATATATTATGAGCTCTGTATTTGTCATCTGAAGAAATTTGATTTCAATGGAGTAGGTGTTAATAGTTCTCCTGTACTACTCAAACCCAGAACAAAGATGCCAATAGATAGTCTGAAGTCCGGAAAGATGAATCTATAATATGACTGGTAAAAAATTTATGCTTACTAGTTAGCAATTTAAGGAAGCATATAATTACTTAACATGCTGCTACATATCTGCAAGAAATATAGAAATATTGCAATTATCTAAATGTTGATTTTGAAATTTTGAATGAGGGATTCTCAAAACTAGAATCAGCTATGCATTTAAGAGACAGAATAATTAAGGAACCTTCACATCTCTGGGATGTATTAAATTATATTGTATCAATCTACTGTCATTTTTCTAGGTTATCCTGGTGATTATAAGCTTTGTAGGAAAATACAAGCCTAATATTCTTAACTTATATATAATGCTATACTTACCTGAGTATACAACTGTCTAATATCTTCCCTCTTTCAGCTTCCTCAATCAAATTGAAAGTAAATAGAATCTTCTCTTTGGATAAAACTACTAGGTCTGAGTGATTCTGAACTTGGAGCTCCTGAGCATTATTTATGTCATTATATTAGTAGAATCAGAGACTAATAATATAAGAGTCTTACAGTGGAGCCCAACTATAAAATCATCAATAATAAATCACTATACTTATTGTAGGAAAAAACTAGAGACTTTGCTCTAGCTTTCTTAACTGTAGAGCCTTTATAGATGAATTAATGACATATGTCTCTGATAACTGCTTGCTTACCTCCAGATTTACCTCTTTTCTTTTGAGAGGAGCTAGCTTTTGGCGCCTTTGACTTGGCTTTTTCTTTTTTTAAAGGAAGTTCATCAGTCTCGAAAAGTGTGCTTATTTTCCCTACTTTCTTATTACTATTGAACAAAGAGTCTGTATGATGCCTAATTATATTTTTTATCTTAGAGAAGATAGCAGATACTGATGTAAACTAGGTGTTTCTCTTATGAATGTATCAAGAACAGCAGCTTTACTAAAGGAGATGTCATTTAGAAAGACATCCTAAGTATCAGCTACAACAATTCAGTATGTTAAGGTCGTAGGATCGTAGGATCGGATCCAAAGGACTTCGGCCTCAGCTCGTACACTGTGCCCCTTTCCCAAGTACTGTCCCTTATTTCAGAGACTAATGATGACGCTGTAGAAACAACAATACTGAGTGGGGCTATACGAAGATGGCTCCAAACTGATATATTTGTGTTGTGGTCTTTGCACTGCCTAGTCTGCTATACTTGAGACGACAAGTGCGTTCGACCCAGGGGTCTGCGGTCTGGGAATAGTCTTGGGGGTAAGTGAGTGATGTGGAGTCAATAGTCCGAGCGCGGGAAACAATGTCCGAAGGTATAATTACGATGTCCGATGCAAAAGCGTCGGGTCCGATGTTTTCGGGGTTTCGGGTTATCGGGTTCTGGTTCGGGGTGTCGGAAACTAATAGTAACGCTATAGCGAGCGTCGGAAGAGCGAGCGGTGTGCGCGATAATAACAATGACTGATACGGATAATGAAAGAGCGATGATATTCGCAATATCAACTAAGAACTACGAAATATCGGGTTTGACCACTAAGCGTCGGGGAACTGCTCCCCTCTACTTGGATAATGAATAATGCTCGAGGTCAGTCCAATATATATGTAAGTACGTAGAAATGCGGAACCCGTAGGCGAAAGTAGCGGCGGAGTATTTCGGATCCGAAGTACATGTAAATAAACATGAGGCGCTGCGGACTATGGGAAAACATGTAATAGCGCTGGCTACGACGTGAGCAATGTGCAAAATAATGAACTACACACCTAGTGGGGCTAGCAAGACAGGACGGGACACGGATAGGACAAGTGCGCGGGAAAACATCGGGTCCGATGCGGCCTAAACGTCAGGTTGGCGGGTTAGCGTCGGATAACATCGGGAAGTGATTAGCATGTGACGGGTATAAATTAGTGCAACTCTGCTGTAAATTGAAGTATTAGATTTGCTAGAATAATAAGCATTACTGGAAGATTTGAAATATTTAGAGTAGTACTCCTCCACTGCTTTGCAGCTAATAGAATTTATATTAGATTAATAAGGTTGTAGGAGGGATATATACCTATTTTACTCAGAAAGCAGTTATGCATAGAATAAAATTCACAATAGAAAGAAAGTACTCCAATTAATACCATAACTTAGACAGTTTTACCTAAGCCCACTTCATCTATGAGTAGGATAGGCATTTTATAAAATATGTTCTTAACCAGATCAACTTGCTGGTGCTAGTGAAGAATCTATTTTCTTTTAACCAGGTCTAACTGTCCTTAGTCTAGGAGTTGCAATTGCAATAGAATTCTCACAAAAGGTTAAAGAATAGTAGTAATACTCAAAATAACTTTCAAAACCTTTTGAAAACTCGCTTAGACGCCAGCTAAACACTTTGAACTCTCGGCTATAGTCTTGAAGAAACCTCGGCCAATGACCTAGATTCAAAGTCAGGCCGGCATCATACGGCAGACTTTGAAAGTACATGAAAGTCAGGGATTTGGCCGACTCTAGGGCTACTCTACGTAGACTCTGGGGCTAAAGTCTTGGGCCGGTCTGAGGCTTCGGCGGCTGGCTTCAGGCGGAGCTTAAACATTACTCGATGACAAAGTGTGTCCCGCCCCTCATCGATCATTGTGCTGCCCGCCGCCGTGAATGCCTTCCTGCCAATACAGATGCCTTCCTGCCAATGCCTTCCTGCCCGCCCGCCATCTAATGTTGGTATGCTGTGTTCATGCTCTGCTCAAAATGCACATTATCAGTAGCCCTTGTTATCCATTTCCTACCCATCTGCCCTTCTTATCCACTGCCTTCCTTTCTGAATACCTGCACAACTGCCTGCCTGCCCACTCACCCACCTACTTGCCCACTCGCTTTCCTATCCGCCCTGTTCCCTGTCAGCGTGTGCACACCCGATAGCTATTGTTATGTCTTCATTACAGGAAGCCGATCTCGCATTTCTTACAAGCTTATCCCTCCGCAAAAGTGCGATTGGCCTTGTCATTGATTGTGCTACTTGTGGCGGCACTGTGAGCGGTAGTAGGATAACTAGACAGAGAGACATGGATGATGGGGTTTTTTGCCATTCTGCTGCAAGTTAAAGACAGTAACATGATTGCGATGGAGTATCATTTCATCCAGAAAAAAATCATATTTCACCAGAGTCATCTCCTGACACATATTGTGAAACCCTCTGAACCAGACATTGGTCTGTTCTGCAATTGAGGAGTTGAAATAATACCTGCCTTATTCATCGAGTAGCTCTGGATATGCTTTCATGTCACAACATTGCTGACAAAATGTGTCGCTGGCCTTGTGCTTTGTCTTATGGTGGAAGGTGTCTACACACATCCCCATGCCATCCAAGAATTTGAGTTTGCGGCTCTCGAATGGAGTGCATTGCAATTGGAGTCATAGATGAGGTGTTGTGGTTTGCGAGCACACGGGAGAGAAAATGTCTTCTCAAATAAGACCTTTGTATTCAATATCTTAATTGAATGAATGCAGGGAGGTGGGGATAACACACCAGTACATTTGAAACTGCCTCATGGTGGTACATTGTTCCATGCCCTGAAATCACACCACAAGGGCGTATAAACAATTGCTCATTGTTGGTCCGCTGCCGGAATAACACAGCTTTGAGCTTGAATAATTCATTCTTGTCTTGACATGTATCTGGTATCTGCGAGTCTGCATTACTGAGGTCTGTCACTCCTGTTGATGTTGTAGATGAGGCTTGAACGAGGCAAACATTGCCAGTAGATGGATTCTGATTGTACCACTCGTCAATATCCTGAACCGGCAACATATCTTCATCATTGCCCGCACTGGCTGCAGCAAGTGCATTGTTGAGCTTTGCAGTCTTCATTCTCTATGTCTTACTCTTCCCGCTTTGTGTGGATGCTGCCTTCATATCCTCCATCTTGAGGTGAACTGGATCAGCACAGGCTTTACGATACTTGCCAGTCTGATCATTGCGGACAACAGGCCTGCCACACCCCTCAACTGCACACATGGTCTTGTGCTGCTTGTGACTGGGATCGGTTGAGCAGAAGCGGTGACGTGTACGTTTGAACTAGTGGCCGAGGGAGAGGGGCAAGCAGGAGAGGGTGCGAGGCGGTGGGAGATTGTGTCAGCCATTGACACGTGACACTTTGTCATCAAGCAACATCTAAGCTCCACCTGAAGCCAGCTGCTGAAGCTCCAGACCGGTGTTAAGAACGTGCTCAAGGGTCGGATCCGAAGGGCTTGGCTTCAGCTCGTGCGCTGCGCCCCTTACCCGAGTACGTGCTCCTAACTTCCGAGGGCTGTCGAACGATGTCCAGAGGGCGTCGGGTGATGTCCGGAGTCCGATGTCCGATGCACGGGAATTCCGGCGGACGTTCAGGAACAAGAGATAAGACTAATCCGGACGAAGTCCGAACTAGAAAGGAAACAGCGGAGGACTACCAGAGGTAGAGGTGGAGGTGACAAGTCTATAGGAATCAATCCTAAGATGAGCGGAGGTCGACGAGAGAGAAACTCAAGTCGGACGGAGGAGAGAATGAGCAGAGTCTAAGATGATATTCGAACTGAGGAAAACTACAGAGACTGTACAGGGTTTATATACTACTGAGGACATAATGGAGAACAGTAAGTGCAGTGCGAGGCTATGTAAAGCTATGGAGAAAACATATGGGACGACTATCACTAGTCTATCGGAACTTAGTAAAATGAAGACGGAAATGAATAAGGGACGGAAAATAAAGTGTACTAACTGATAAGGGAAATACCAAAGGGATAAGGCACGGAAGTTAGACGCGGGTCGGATCCGGACGATACATAGAAGTCGGCCGGATCCGGAAATCCGGAAATGATGAGTGTGATAGGTCCGGACCCGGAACGCAGGTGATGACAACCGGCCCAAGACTTTGACCCTAGAGTCTATGTAGAGTAGCCCTAGAGTTGGCCATTTCCCAGACATTCTTGAAAGTACCATGCCTCCTGCCCGTCGACAATGTGCCCGTCATTCTGCATGCCTCAACACTCATACTCCATCATACTTGGGGGCAATGGATGAGGAATCAAATATTTAAGGTCATTTCACCTCACACCCACCTCTGGAACAGTCTGGACCCCGGCTCACCATCCAGTGGCACCATGACTGTGCACTTACCGACACACTGGTAAACTATCTGACCACCCACCCTGCCAATTGTTGAATTCCATTTTATTCTGATGGCAAGAAAGCCATGACTGCTGCAGATGATGGTCCCTCAGGCTCAGATAAGGGGCAGATATACAGTGTTCTTGCTAAGCTCATCTTCATGGACCACGTCAAGTACAGCCCTGTATACTCGGTCAATCCAAAGAAATTTCGTGATGCGGTCTGCAATCACATTGGGACATAAGTCTAATCATATTTTTTATTCCATTAATAAAAATTCTAAAATTTACACAGTCTCAGGGGTAAATACAAAAAAATCAAGGTGTCGTTCGGCAGTATGGGCGCTGGTGTCATGCCAGTTGAGGGGACTTCAGCAAAAAATCTGCTGGGTGAGTTGTTAGTCCCATTTTTTTCTTGTTCTTGGCTGATCAATTATTTTAGATGCCACGCTTCTCGAGCTGCCATGGTACATAGAACTTGATGCCATTTGGCACTCTAATCCGTCCATGGCCGCAAAGGTGCACTAATCAAGACCTGGTGTCGACCACACAGGTGTCTTTTACTCCCTCGTTCAACCGCATGGTGGGGCTGGTCCCTCCATGTACTATGGTGACAGTCAGCGGTCATCACACACTCCTGATGTCTCAGATCATCCATCTGCCTACCAATGTGGGCACCATGTGCCTCAAAATTTTGCTGGCAGTATGTACCCACTAGCAACACATGACTCCTCAATATCGAGACACTCTGCTCCCCCTCCCTCCTTACCATCACATTCACCCTCTCACGTGTCCAAGGTTCACCTTCCTGGTCTTCCATCAGATGACAGTGACAATACGAGTGGCTTCATGCTACCCAGGAGCACAAAGCCTCCCAAGCTGCAGTCAGCCATCAGCGCCAGCAGGAGGTCAAAGACACTGAAATTTGGCTTCGTGAGACAGATATTTGGATCCACCAAGCATATTCCTTGGTGCTTGATAAGGAAGCAGAAACTCTTTGCCTTAAGATTCAGTTCCACCAAATGATGCAGGCCTCCAAGGCCTCATCAGATGCAGGAACGGGATGAGTTATTTCCTCGTGTTGTCCGCATCTTGTTGTTGTCCGCATCTGTTGTTGTCCATCCCCTCGTCATGTTTGCTTTGTCATCTTGTTGTCAACATTTGTTGTTACTTATTTGTTCCATTGGATATCTACATGTTTTATGTCTTGTAGTACTTTCATTCATGCTACATAGGTATATACATTTGTTGTACAGGTGTATTGGTAGTAGTACATGTTCAAATAAGCATTGTTTTTGGGTGTCATCCTTCCCTGTGGTGTGCACCTGAGTGAGGACTATCAAAGAGTGCATCCATCAGCCTTGTATGAACAGCTTGACCTGGAGTGCCTTCATATGTCCTGTCACCAACTACTTCTTCACCATCTGGACTCTCAATCTCTTGATCAATACAATCTTCCCCCTCTGCATGGGCCCACTTTAGAGAACTCTGGTATGTTCCATCCTTCTTGTGATGCTCAATTTCAAAGTGAATGATCATGTTGTGCAGGATGATGCAACACTTGATCCACTGTACAGCAAACTTAAGGTCTTTTTCAGCCTAGATCCTAAACCAGAGTTCTCGAAGGGACTGGAACTGTCCCTTTAGAACAGCAAATGTGTGTTCAACATGAACACAGATCTAAATAAATCAATAAAATCAATTTATTAAAATATGGTACTTCAAAAAAATACCTTAGAGAGGTGATAATTAAATGACTTCTGGTCCCTTGTCAGCCGCCCATTACAAGGCTTCTTAGAAGGGGCAATGCACCATAGCTCCAATAGATATGTACTGTCTGCCCAAACCCAATGACCATCAGGCAGAAGGTCAGCATGATCTTCATAGAGACAGGTAGATCAAAAAGTGAATGCATCATGGACACTTCCAGGATGACCCAGAGCACAATCCACAATAAGAAGATTATGGGGTAAAATGACTGCCTGGAATTAAATCAATTTTTGCATAAGAATATAAAAAAATAAACAAATACCTAACAGCCAAGGAAATACTTGGATTTCCTATCAAAAAATGTCTCACCATAGTAACCAGGTTTGGTGAAAAGATCCACATTTGAGCCATTAATGGCTAAAAAGCCACCTTTCCACTCTGAGCAGCTACATAACTCAGCAAATTTGTGAGCCAAATCAGCATCCTCAGAGTTATCTGCTTCCCAGCAGATAAACTGATCATGGGCATTAAGCACCACAATCATCACACGATTAGTGCAATTAACCATGGATCCAACACTCATACCTGCCCATTGAGCAACATCCTCAAGAGTAATGGCATTGCCATAGCGGCCTGCCCGATTTAAAAAAATGGCAAGCTGGATGGAGACAGGGAGCTGAGGATTGTTGGATTTGTTTTGGAAGATAGGGTGATTAGAGATATGATCAAGGATGTCATCAAAAATCTTGAAGTTGATGCAAAGTTTCTGCTGAAACAAGTGAGAGTGGTGTTCTTCATAATGAATTAACATGTAAAGCTGAGGGGCTCATGGAGGAGGCTCATCAGGCTTATGGAGTATATGAGCCTTCTGAACCTCATCATGGAGGACATTAATGGTATTGTAGAGCCTGTTGTAAGGCAAAATGACATCATCTGAAGATGTAGAACCATCACTAGAAGAATTGGAGGTTCCTGTCATAGGGGAGAGGGGGGATGGGGGGGGGGGAGGTAAAAGACAGATTGATTGTATCATCATCTGAAGTAGAAAGTGAGGTGCCAGAGCTGAAATCATTGGAGCTAGAGTCGAAGTCAGAGTCAGAGTTAGACCAATCATCTAAAATATCCTGATGCTGTAGCTTGGCCAAAGCAAGTTCAGCCTAATCTATAATATCCAGGAGTTCTTGATGTGTGGATGGCTCAGGCATACTAGTTACAGTGGGGTGGAATCGATGGGATCAAATCCCCTATTTATGCGTATATGTGATATCATTTTTGGCGGAGTTTAAATGTTCGGCAAATTCCAAAGCTTCGTCTTGTGCTGAGCATGTTGGTGTCATCGACCTCACCCTCGAATCTGGATGCTCACCTACAGTGCTGAGCATGGCACCATCAAGTGTCATGCACTCAATAAGGTAAGTAATTTTTTGTTCTATTTGCAAGTTGTAGCTAAGATTTATTCTTATCTCACAGAAAATCTCTTCTAGTGCAGACATACCACCTAACCAGCGCCTTATCTTTGCCAGTGAACCGCCCACCTGCCCTCTACCTCATTTCCTAGACCTTCTATATCCTTCCTTAAAGGCCAACCCTATGCCCATTTCAATCCAGCTGGCTCAAGGCTGTTGGCACTCTTGCGCGCTATCTCAAAGATGGCCGTACTCTCAGCAGCTACAACATCCAGAAATAGTTCGCCCTTCACAGGCAGCGCAACAGTTCGGCCTTACTTGACTTTGCAAACACCACGTCCTCCCGAGCCTATCGACAGTAGCCGGAACCTTCACTGGCACTAGTTTCTATATAGCTGTACGTCCATTCCTTGATCATACATCCATCACCACTGATGGTCACTATAGCCGGAGTGCATCAGTGGAAAGAAATATAGCATCTGTTCCCTTCAATACTCTACCTATGCCTGGTTTCATTCTCGCTGAGAGTTAGTTTTTTTAAAAATTCATGCATGCTGTGATTTGAAATATGATACGTGTTGGAGCATTTAAATCTTACAAACCTACA